CTCTAGGCGGGTGGTCATCTGCCTTGACCACCCACCTTGATCAATGGACAAACAACTCAACAACAGCTACATTGGATTATCACACGGAGTCAGCATTTCTATCTCAAATTGCTTCTCCAATTTTTGGTGCGAAAATGTGTGTGTGCGTATGAGCCAAGAAACTCACATTGCATCGCTACCACAAACCAAATGAATTGTACAGTATAACTGATACTCAGAGTCAGCAGTTCCATGGTTCCTTGTTTCTCAAGTTTTGGGTTGGAAAGCGTGTGTCTAATTATATCATTTTATACATTATAATTATACTGTATTGCTGTAGTGGCTAAATATCCACAGGAAAACAGCAACACCCTAACACAACAACCTAAAACACCTTAATATCACAATCACCCTTAAGAATTGTCAACAAAAGTAGACATACATAATACTCAAGCTACAACAGCCCAGTTAGCAATATGCTAGTAATGTTGCAAAAAACACTGTTTCGATGTATTTCATTCTTAGGTTGCATAGGGAATTACATAGTGTTGTATTCTGAACACCTTGCACAATTTCTCAATCGACTATTTTCTAAGAGTGTAACAACATTTCTATGTTGTCTTATATCAGGGGCAGTTCTAGAGGAATATTCACAGGGGGGGAATGTCTGTTTTCATCGACCTTAAGCCTATCACTTAGTCTAAAATGTGTCCAAATTCACTCATTCACTTATATGTGTTAAGTTCTGTTTTAACACATTATTTTCACATTATTTAAATTTCACTAAACACTAAGAGCCCAAAGTTTGACGTTAAATGTTTGAAAAATACAACATAATACAGTGTCCTTTTCTTTCTGCAGACCTCCAGTCGGATGCATTTAGAGACGACACCCCCACACTTCCACCGAGCAGTGCTCCGGCCCTCAACTGACTTAACCTCTGAGAACTCAGATGACCCTGTGAGGAAACATCCTGACATTAAGTTTGGCGACTATGGCAACTACAGATGAGGCAAAGTGCGAACTGTAAGAAGAAGTTGACGAAGAGCAGAAAACAAGCATCAAAATGTGTTTTAGATGTTGAGAACTGATAAACAGCTTCACACCAACTGTGACATTTATGTCCACATTTATATCAACGGGTACCAGATGAGTCACATACAGATACACATGTACACAATGGGAACCAGAAACAGGGGTACAAATACTCAAACGCACATTCACAGAAAACACATAAAACTCAGCCCGCTGACGTTCGTGACAGAGATTTGAGCAACTTTGTGTCTTTGCTATTTTTTTAACTTCATGGGAAACTTTTGCTGACGTTGTGTTTCAGTTCCCTTCTTTCCTAATTATTAAGGGTTTGGTGATGTCACATGGCTGAAAGACGACATCCTGCCATGGCAGCCACTTATCTTTTGTTTGTGGTTTGTTCACTTTCTACACATCATCTCTCTCTCTGATACAGATAACAACCTGTACCTTAAGAAACATCTTTCTCAGAGATCATCACTGTGATCCCACAGGAGCCATTTGGGGACATTTACCTGGTTATACCTTCAGTATGAACAGTATTTATTAAAGCTCTTTAAAATGTGTTGGCTGTTCTCTTCATCAACTTTCTGTTTTGCTGAGTCCTGAATCTGTACAGCACTGTAAGATGTGATTTTTTTTAAATTTCAATCCCCACATCCAGCAATTATGCAATATAAATCTAAATCTAAATTTAGGAAACGTCACCACAATGAGACGTCACAAATCAGATGTCTCCGTATGCAAGTGACTAATGCTGACTAATGTTGTGGTCTTTACATCACAGTTTTCCAAAGGGTTATAAAAAATCCACTGATCAGAGGCAATTTTCTTTTTTTTGTTGGACAGGATTGGACATTCAGTGTGTCTGTCATGCATGTAGAACCAAAACAAAGGAGGGCAGCTCTAGCTAATTTTCCGTTGTAGACGCCACCGAGAACTGTAGTTTTGTAATAGCATATAATAATAATAATTAGTGTGTAGACTGATTTTTGAATAACTTGTATATATGGAAAAAGTTTTGGTGTTACTGTAAAAATTATTCTGAATGTGACAATAAAGTATTTTGTCCCACTAATATGGGAAATCATTTTGGGTGGGTTTATATTACTTTATTTTTTTTTTTTTACATTTATGAAATGTAAATCTACTTCTTATACCATACTTGTTCTTCAATCAATAATCGTATACAAAATGTGTAAATTATATTGATAACTCTCAAGGAGGCTTAAAATTGACCTGAAAGGGGGCCAGTGTTTGTGCTGATGTTTTATGCGGAAGTGAAAACTTCTTCAACATCATGTTCAAGAGATCAGCATTCTTTATCCCAGCAGCAGAAGTACAAAAATAGATGCGTATATAACTATAATACCAAAGTATATAAATGAAGCATAAAAAGACAAAAATAAAAGCATAATGGTAAATTTAGAGAAAATGTTGTGGAGTATCACAGTGTACAAGACCATCAAAAAAGTATCATCAAAAATGGCAACAGCAAATGGTATTTACCAAGTTTAGTATCAAGTTCTTCATTTTTTATTAAGTGAGGATAAAACAGAGGTTATCACCCGGAGTTCAATTCAAATTAAACAAGCAGAAACTGATTAATGAATGAATGAAATGAATAATACAGACTTACAGGTGGGTCCCTAGTCAATAAATCACATTAAATAAAAATACACTTCATATAAGCAACAGCAACATTTTTATGAAGGTTTATTGCCTGATACGTGTCTTTTATACTCATTATTTTACATATACTGTGTTTATGAAAAATGCATATGTCTCTCTGGTTGAGGCATAGTGTGTTACACCACTTTGTACTGGTAAATACAGTTTAAATTGTAAAATCAACCATGCAAATTGCATTATACTGTATCAGCAATATTGTTTTCATCTAGTGAATAAATCTGCTACATTTCTTGTTTGAATTAAAACATTTTCCAAGGCATATTAGAAGTCTTAATTCATATGTTGGGTTTTTTTTTTTTTTTTTGGAAATAGGCTTGTGCAACTGTGGGTGGTGGTGGTGGGGTGGTATAAAACACGCACACTTAAAAGCAGAACAGCTCCATGACTTCCTAGTAGCAGAGTGGGTCACTGAAAACGTAAGTCTGAATATCTGCTAAATCAAAATATAAATGTGTTTTGTAACTTGATTTTATGTATTTGTAAGATATTTGAAGTTAAATCAGCTTCCATTTCATCATGTTAGGACTGTGCTGGGCTGGTTTAGGGACTTGTCTTTGTATCACACACAACAATTGTGAAAGTTCATATTTGTTTTACATTATAAAATTGTCTCCTATGATAAAAGTGTATAACCATAAATGTTTCCCATCTACAGCTTCGAGCAGGAATGGAAGGAACCATGGATTATGACGATTACGTCTTCACTGACTTTAACATTACTGACTATAATTTCACTTTTCCTGACGTTACGGCCCCCCCTGAGATTCAACCGATCCAGATAGTGGCTCTGGTCTTCTACGGCCTTGTGGTCCTGCTGGGTGTCCCTGGAAACGCTCTGGTGGTGTGGGTGACCGGGTTCTGCATGCCCCGCTCTGTCACTTCCCTCTGGTTCCTCAACCTCGCCCTGGCAGACCTTCTGTGCTGCCTCTCCATCCCTCTGCTCATGGATCCCCTAGCGCACGACGACCACTGGCGCTTTGGGTCGCTGGCTTGCACCCTGGTCAAAAGCCTGTTTTACCTGGTGATGTACTGCAGTATTCTGCAGCTGGTTCTGATCAGTGTGGATCGCTGGATGCTGGTCAGCAGACCCGTCTGGTGTCAGAACAACAGGCGACCTAAGAGGGCTGCTTTTGTGTGCGTTGCCATCTGGTGCCTGGCCCTGATAGGCAGCATCCCTCAGTTCGTCTACACCAAGGAGATCACAGCAGGTGATCACAAGCGAGAGTGCGTGACAGTGTTCTCTCTGCGCAGCGCCTGGGTCGTCACCTCCTACCGCTTCCTGGTGGGGTTCTTCCTCCCGTTCCTGGTGATCGTCGTCTGTCACTTGGTGGTGTACCGGAGAGCAGAGAGCGGACTCTCCCGCGGTCGGCCCCGCTCCAAGCGCACCCTGAGGGTCATCATCGGTGTGGTGCTGAGCTTCTTCCTGTGCTGGCTCCCACTTCACATTGTGGACTTTCTCACCTTGGTAACCCCTAGAAAGTCGCACCACAGCCCCAGTATCTACCTGGCGCACGTTTTAGCGCTCTGCCTGGCATACTTCAACAGCTGCCTTAACCCGCTGCTCTATGTGTGCCTGGGTCGGGGATTCAAAGACAGCATGAGCCGCTCCCTGCGCAACGTGCTCCACTTCATCAGCGAGGAACCCATGACCAGAGTGACCATCACTAATAACGACACCAAGAGCACCAGCAACGAGACTGTTAAACTCTGAGGGTGTGTGCACTTTGAAGTTATTATAGAAGTGTTGTCATTTCCAAAAGCCACTTATGGCTGAGGTTTCCCACACGTTAATTGATAGTTTATATAGGGTGTGAGCTTACTTACTGCTCTGAACATGGACTTTATAACCATAAACTGGAATCAATGTTTAAAATCAATCGTTTGACACGTTGGTCCAATAATGTCAGTCTGAAAAACACATTTTATATTTTGAAAGTGTGAACACACTATGACCTTTTCTTTATTCTGAGGCAGTTGGGTGGTGTTATCAAGACTGACTCAGGTTTGCAAACCAGGAACTATTAGCCAATCTGCAGTATTTCCTTTCAACATCTGTGTTGCATACAACAAAATGATCAACACTTCTGTTTTTGAGGTCATGTACGTGGATGATCTCAGACCGTGTTTCTGTTACAAATGCAAATGTACACACTTATTTCTGTATTACCCTGTGTGTGTGCTGCAGCTCAAGTTTGAATTTCAAGAAATTACTATTATTTTATATTATAGTTATTGTAACTTATATCTGATTACCGCATGTACCAGTAACATTCCCATAGTGGTTACAAAAAGACACATTCTCTTGTGTAATAGTACTCTGCATGGACCACATGAGGGAGCCACACTCTAATGTCTGATGGCCCATGAGCATGTACATGGTGAGCTCCTAGTGAGAGACCCTTTGGTTTAATGTTAGGCACCCTGAAGACAATAGATCAGAGAGGAGATTGGACAGGTAACATAAGCTTTAGCTATGTTTGGAGGTTTCTCAAATAAATGCAATTCAGACAAATACAGAAGAAATGTAAATTCATAATAACTGTCGAACACTTGCCTAATGCATGACTAATGTATGTTAATTTATGGTGTTTTAGACGGATTGTCTTGTTGTATACCGCCACAAAATTTAAGAATAAACAAAACAATAAAAATGTGTTAAAGTACCAAAATTAAGAGCAAAATTGCCTTTATTTACAGACTACATTCATTCCAAACAAGGCCACATGATGGTATATACAAAAGCATACATATTTACAAGACTGTCTGAGTCTCTGTCCCTGTGTTTCAATTAATCTGTGCACTTACACATTATATATGTGCATGCATGCATGTACACTGGTCCCTTACTATGGCCTCTACTAAACCAATTCCTGACTCACAGACATCTGTTTATGCTCATTGGTCCCTAAAGCAGCTGGCAGAAGAAGAGAGGTAATGGACGGTTCACTTCAGTGTGAATCCACAGTTTACAAAGAGGCAGAGCTGAGTGTATTGGACGACAAAGATAAAGGGACTTTCCCTGCTTAGAGATTCACAATCAGCCCATGAATGTAGAGACTGTAGGAAAAACAAATCTAAACATAGATTTGTACCATTAGACATTTGTTCGCTCCTGCACAAATGAGTTTTCTATAGGATGCTGGCTAAGTGCAGGGCAAATCCATCCTTAAAAGCTTCAGGTCTTACCACACACTAACATTTCAGAAATGCTTTATTTTATGGGTCTGTAATTTCCAGATAATGTCCTAAGCATTTCTAAATCATTTCCAAGAAGTTTCCTGGAATTAACTATGTAATTTGGTACTGATTTGTAGGAAAATAGAGCCAGCGTTCAAATGGTACACTCCAGTTCATTCCAATTAATTGGTAGCATAACCTAACAAGGCTTTAGCTAACCATGCAAAATGTGAAAGTTTGAGCATGAAGTTTCCAATAATAGTTGGGTTTAAATGGAGCTGTTCTTTCAAAGAAATTCCTGTTTTCCCCATTACTAGTAGAAAATTACATAGTTCTTTCCAGGAAACTTGGAAACATGGGAAATTATTGGGAAACTGTATTTGGACCCATCAAATACAGCAACATTTCTTAGAAATGTCAGTGCCATAAATCTCTTTAGTCTCATTTGTAGAGCTTTGGTGTTTGGCAAGACTTTACCTTTGACAGTGTACCCATTCGCTGTGTGGAATTAGATTTGGCCAACTCGACACTGTAGGAATTAATTAACCATACATCTGTGATTAATTAACTATAAGGCCAACACACATCAAGAAAAACTATCAGGAAATTCAGTCACTTAGCTTCAATGTGGTCCATGTCAACAGTGTAACTTTGCATCACATCAATTATCATCAATTAGAAGAGGATAATGCCCATTAGTCTAGCGTCTGATGGTTGTCAGCTACAAGATAATTTAAACCAGATACTACAGACGGATGATATCCAGCAGATATTTAATCATGTCCATTAATGTAATTGCCTCTTACTAAGAACATACTGTAATTAGAGGTAGGTTGAGTATAAAGACTGGATTGGCTAGTTAACATAAGATGACCAAAAGTAGCAGCCACAATCTTGCTCTGACGACGGCTTTACAACACAGTAATACCGGTTACAGGTTTGACCTCATACAGTAGTCATTACTTTGAGGGACCCTGAGCGGAATCTGAGGATCTTCTTTTTGAGAGCGTGGGAGGCTTTGATCTTGACAAAGGCTTTTGGTTGAGAGGGAGCATTGGCAGTGGCCTGTGGTGAAGGTGAGGATGAGGAAGAGGTAGAAGCAAGGCGTGGTGGCAGCTGCTGTGGCCACACCAGCCCCCCACTCTCATCTGAGTCACTGGACAGTGAGCTGGAGGCCGGGGAATACACCTCACTCATGCTGGACTCGGACTCTGCGGGGGCGGCACCAGCGTAACCCTCCTCTCCCTGACAGAGAGGCGCTCTCTCCTGAAAGTCTGGGTGCCAGCGCTGGGTGTGCTGTTGGTGGTGGTAGTTCTGGGGTTGGGAATGGGGACAAGAATGACCGTGACGATTTTTTCGGGGGGGTCGTCTCTGCGCCTGCCCAGTTAGGGGTTCCCCTTCATCCTGGCTGAGCTCCAGGTTGGAGCACCAACGTCGGCTCCCGTTGTTGCTGTTGTTGCCCACCTGTGGTCCAGTGACTTGGCCTTGGTTCTGAGCAAGATCCCCTCTGCCTTGGTGCCTCTCTGTGGTGCTGTACCTGCGCTCTGGCAGCACTCGCTGGCCCAGGAGGCTGTTTTCAGACTGGGACCGACTGGTTTTACTGCTTGATTTCTTGGCTTTCTGTCGCTCGTTGTGGCTCTTCTTAGAGGTTCTGGGCTTGGAGTTCGGGTGGTCAGGAGAAGAGATAGCTCGGTTGGGCTTAGGCTGCTCCGGGTTGTAGTGTCTGGGGGAGCGCACAGGGGCATGGCAGCCTTGTCCAGGGATGTACTGAGCACTTACTAAATTGTGTTTGTGATGAATAGGGGGTTGTGGATGTAAGTAATGCTGGGGGGATGGGGGTTTGCAACAAAGGTCAAGAGCCCCAACACCACAGTTAGGGTCCAGGGAGGGCAGAGGTGATGGTAACCTCTCTGCCAGGGAGTGTGGTCTGGGTTGGGGGTAGGGCAGAGCCAGATAACAGTCCTCTTCCAAAGATGGGGCCTCTCCTCCACAGGCCTCCCCCTCCAGCAGGTCACAACCCCAGCCCTGGCTCTTAGGGTTTGCTGAAAGGTCAACGTGGGGCTGAAGATGGGGGTCAGGATGGCGCTGCTCTGTGGTCAGAGAATGAGTTCTCCTGTGTAGGGAGCTGTGTCCAGAGGCACTGCAGTACGGGGGGTCGGGGCTCAGTGTTGTGCGAGGCTGACACGGCCGGGGTGGGAGGGTGTGGCGCTGGATGAGACTTAGGATGTAACCCTCTACCCTCAAGGCCTGCTGGTAGTCCTCCTCAGTGATCAGATCCTCGGCCTGCTCCTGCCAGGCTTGGTTGGCTCCGTTGGGGTCCCATTGCCAGGAGTCCGCTGCTATACCCTCTTCAGCAATGCCCTCCAGAGGTGGGTAAGGGGCAGAGAAAGAGCGAGGCAGGGTGGTGCGTAGGCCTGGCACATCCAGTTCTCCATTCAGCATGAGGGGGTCACCTAGTAACAGCAAACAGTACTGTTAGAGGCATTATTAAAATACTGCAAACAAAAAAAAACCTAAATCTAAGTAATAATCCATGATGTAGTGTCCTTAAATAGCAAAGTAATGGACAAGAAAACTTGTTAAAGAGATGGTTATTATCAGTTATTATCTGTCCTCTTTTGATTTTAATTTTTGAAAAAGGAAAAGAATATAAGCTCTGATTCAGATAGCTTATAATGCTAAAATGTTAAATTAGTTTTTCTTCTCTTACACATAGAACAATAAAGTTTTTTGTGTATGTTGCTGTTTCTGAGGATGCATGTATGAGAAATGGACGTGTACCTCTACTTTTTCTTACCCACAGACTTTGGCCTGTCGTTGGTGTAAGCCCAGGAAGAGAGTGTTTCTGCAGGCTCAGTGGAACAAGATCTTCCTTTTGGCGAGTGACCCTCACTCAACTCATAGAAACCTAGGAAATACGATTATAGAGGAAGAGGAGATGACTATCTCATTTGTCATAGCTCAGTGATCATTCCAGTTCTCTAATAATATGCTGCTGGATGCAGGCAGTGTCTCACCGTATTTCTCAAATAGGCCACAAAACAAAATTACAAGCAACTGGAGCATGAATGAACAATAAGAGCAGAAATAAATTACAAACTCATTATAAGGATATGTCAAAAAGCAAAGTCAAAAACATGAGTTTCGCTGTATAGAGCAAATATCTGTTATCTGCTCACTGGCTCTATAGAAAGTAAGTAAATTACTATGTGCACATTTAGAAACCTCTTAACTGCATGCATGTCAGAGCTGAGATCAAAGAAAAGGTTTATTACTATGGACGTACCAGAACTTGGCCGACTGTTGCCTGTGTCTCCTTGAGCTCCATCATAGCAGTCATCGTCAGTGTCGATCCTCAGCTCTCCCACCTGCTGTTCCAGCGCCTGCATCAGGCCCCATGGGGAACTCTGGAGGGCACTCTGAAACACAAATAAACACGCTCAGACTGTTTTCTTGTTCTTTTGTGTCTACATTTGATTGCCCTGTTGAGAAGTAATTTTTAAGTAGACGGTAAGAGGCAACAATCAGCGATTTCAACAACAAAGCGAAAAGTTCAAACAGTCCTTGCAATCAAATTACTGGTTTGCAGAAATGCTAATGACAGAAGCACAGCTGTGCACTCTTCACTGCTAGTTTCTCCAGCTGCATGCCAGCTCTCATTCTGTTTGGCACTCAGATAATTGTTAGTCACCTTTTGAGATAGTCTCTGAAATTTGTACAGAAATGTATTAAATTATGGGTAGGTGGGTTATATTTTACTTATGGACATGTAAAATAGAAAAGAATCCAGCTAGTGTAAGTTGCATTATATTATCAACTGACTTAATTTTAACCATTTGTACTGGGAGCAGTGACTTTATTTCCAAAGATGGATATTTCACTCTGATATAAGAAAGACTGTCATTGTTATTGTGGTGTATGTTCAAGAACAACCTCTGTATCAGCTAACAGGGATAAAAAACACCCAAATGAGTAAAAACACAAAATGTCAAAACAGATAAAGCAGAGCACAGCTCAGATGTAGATTCTCCATCACTAGTTACTAAAATACTAACGTGGCCATCACGGACCGCCACTGTGCATCACTGCAGTGCATCTGTGTACAGTTTCCATATGTGTCACTGGGCTCTCTTGCGTAAGCAAACTTACAGAGGGAAGCAGCCAGTCGGAACATGAATAATTCAAGGCTGTGTGAAGGGTAGGGGGATGTTCTTTCATGTGGGTGGGTGGGTACATACACACACACATACACGCACACACACACACACTACACACACGTTATGATATGCAGACAAATGTGCTTGCTCATACAGCTCAGATAGACAGAGAAAAAACACGAAAATATATCTCTTTGTATTTATATCTTTAACATGAGGACACTCTGCTGATTTTATACATTTCAAAATATACACGACTTCACTTTGTCGAGCGAACGGACCACAAAACCTTTTCCCCCATTTTAAGTAATAAGTTGGTCACAAAACAAG